TTTATCCAAGGTTCAAAATGGAAAAGAGAAGAGGATAAACTCAATACAAAATATACTGGTCTAAGACAGTGGTTCCCAAACTTTTCCTAGTCGCGGCTATCTTTTTCAATTAAAATTTTTCCATGGCGCACTATCCTAAGTATGACTATTCGTAAGTTAAAGATAAAAACAAATAAAACTTGTCTATCTTCATTATTTTTTTACTTTATTGACATTAAATCAATCTTTAATAATTAATGTGATGGATGAGCCTACAAATTACTACACATTTTCTCAAATTGAAGCTTTTACAATATTTCGCGGCTCGCCAGGGCGCCGCGGCGCACAGTTTGAGAATCACTGGTCTAGGAGATGTATTTACCCTACTTCGTTTTAGGTATTTATCGTGAGTTGCAGAGTATGTAACTCATTTGTATGTCTTTTATCTCATCCTCATCATCATCATTACCTAATTAAATCAATGATTAAACTTGTTTATTCATCTCCTACTTTCACTATATACCATAGCCATACTGCTTTCTCCGGTCTCAAGCTTTGGAGCCTTTACTCGCTATTGCCACTGGACAGACGGTAGGCCTTGATTCTGAAGAAGATGCGCTTGCCACCACTGCCTCGGCAAATACTAACGATTCAGTCGATCAACCTCCGCCCTACCGCCTTTTGCATAGCCTTTTGCAGATGCCTCGTGCCGCCTGCAGCTCCGAAGATCTGCGGCGTTTAGACTCGGATCTCGTATCTGAGACATCGTCTGGTCGACTGCCTGGTCTGTCTGTTTTAGACTCTAATCTTCCCTACACGAGACCGGTGCTGCTGGCTCTCCCTCTTGCCGGAGAAGAATTGATAAACCTGTTGCTCCGACATGAACGTGAGAAGGAAATGGTTCATTTCTTAGATGAGGAAGAGGAGGATGTCGAGGGAGTAAGGCGAGAGTCTCAGAATGCTACTATTCTAGATGTGTCAACTAAGAAAGCAGATGAATCAGATTTTACGACTCTCCCAATTACGAAGCAGACAGACATTGTGCTTGCAACTGATCATACAGTTAAAGACAATCTGAAATTGCCAAAGGAAGTTGAAGGGATTGTGGATTGCGAGATGGAGATTTCAGTTTCCGTTCCTCAGCTTCATTCGATTCAGCCCAGAGATGATTTAAGTACAGCGATTTCGAAAACGGAATTAATAGCTCCTGCAGGGGATTCGAGGAAACGCCGCTCAAGACTTCCTTGCAAATATGCGAATGAGTCGACAGCAAGAAGCAGTTGCCTAAAGGAGGCTGAGCTGATGAAAAATGACAATATAACTTCTGATCAAAGTTACTCTGGAAGCGATGAAGCTAATAGGAAAAAGAAGCGGAATATAGTTGAGTCAGAGAAAAAGGAGGAGCGGGAAGCTTCGAATATGGAGTCCATAATATTAGAGAATACGAAAGAGGAGTCAACTGAGAACAAGATAGCTGCGATAACGGTCACAAATGATCATAACGAGGTCAGTAGCCAAATCGACGGAAATGGTGTCCCTTTAATTGTGGGTGATCCACCAGACGAGGATGTTGGCGAGGAAAGTTGTATACTTTCTGCAAACGACAACTGCAAGGTAGTTTGATATTGCATTTATCGAATTCGTGATTTAATGACAATTTCTCCTTGCTTTATATAGCTTTATTATAACTTCTATTTTGAATTCATTTAGTTGTGATTTTACTAGTCGTTTTTATTAATTGTAGTTCACCATATCTCATGGCGACACTGCACATGATTTTGCTGATTATGCTTCATCTTAACTGATGAATCGAAGGATGTGTGATTTCATATCATATTGCATAGAAAATCTTTTGATTGCAAATGGTTAAGATCGAAATTTTGTTGTTTTACTTCGTTTTAATCATAACTGGCATGTGATTTGGATTTATATTAGATTATTTATAGCCCTTACATATCGCACTCACATCGAATTTTGTATTTTTATCAACTCAATATTAGATCATGTGTAAAAGTAGCTGGGCTTTTTCTTAATTTGTTAAAGGTCAGGTTTTAGATGAGCCCAATGAGCGTGTGCTAAGTTTTCGTTTTTATACGACATACGCTGTCAGAGCGAGAAATTAAAGTTTAAAAAAGAGTACTAAATACAGTATACCAAGACATGAGAACGGCATGCTGTATTCGCACTCGCTTATAACTAACTTTGAGATTATAATGAAGCATTTTGTCGCCATTTTAGGCATACCACACACTTTGGCAAATGAGAAAGGTTGATGCATGAAACGGAAGGGGGTATATGAGTAATTGTATTATTGCTATTTTTAGGCATATCTTTATTGTGTGAGAGTCCCAACCATACCTGATACTATTCAAGCGTCCTTCACATGCTTAGCGGTTCTTCTCTTCTTGTCTCTCATTTAGCCTATTCAACCGCGATAAACAGTTCTCGTTCAATTTCCTACAATTATTTCATCTATTCAGGATTTTTAATATTTTGCTTATCTTAGTAGACGCATTAATCCTATGCTTGGATATGAAAAATCATCGTAGCTTGCAAATCGTTGCGTTTTGGACTATTTTATTTCGTATCCTTTATTAATCATATGCTCAACTATTTTGGCTTTTTGAACCCATTTTCTTTGCATGTGGTTTTGGGTTCAGATAGCCTCTTATGTCTCGATTGACAGGACAATACCACAATAAAAATATGCCTAAAATATTAGGAGCATACGTTGATTTATTTAGGCAAGAAAAAAGCTGCCAGCACATCCACATCGTTTTCACGCTTTAACTTCCCTCATCTGCAGGAGCGTATGGTGAACATGAAATTGCAAACTAAATCATGAGACGCATTATTAAGAGTATAAATTTAGGTATAAGTGAGTATTGAAGTTGTTTGACCTTGTTTTCGCAACTTGGTCATATTAGTAGGAAGACTTAGAGGAATGCACCTATTCCGGAATCCATTGTATGCATGATTATTTCCAAAGTCGGACTGTGAACGTGGTACTTGCCCAGACGTTTCGCTGGCATCGTAGTCGGCATCGTCAGTGCGTATCGCCATTCTTAGCACCATAGTACAGCTCGTCAAAGAGACAAGTGAAGCTCATCCTTTGACCAAATGTGTGCTAATCAATTGTGGTTTCTCCCCTTCTGCCCTGGGCTATTCACATTTCCTATATCCTCCTATCACACCTTCACTGTTACAATTTTTGCCGTGCTTATTTCGATGTATTGTAGTGTGCTCCTTCGAGCGCCATTCATGAGAACCCTTCACAATCCACACTATCATTCTCACCCGCTTCACCCTTGTGCTGGGAATGTTGACCAGAGTCTGTCATATTGTCACTTAGTCCTTCTTTCCTGGGTCATATCAGAGTCTCCCTCTTGCCCCGTAGAATCCGTCTGCTATCTGGTACACGTGTTTCACTCGACCCCTGCCCCCTCCCATCTGTGCTACTCAAGGCGTTATTCGCCCTCCCCTACGAATGCCTTTGAGTAAGTCTCATGGTCACGCCTTTGCTACATGGACCACGTCTCTAGTAAAAGCTACTGCCAGCCAAATATTTCTAGTCTCTGCTGCGTCTATCCTGTTTATATCCTTAATACCAAGTATATGACTCCTCATGCCCTAATCTCTTGTGTGCCAACCCACAAATGTTGTGGTACTGCTTGCTTTGATAAGGTTTAATGTTGAACCACAATGTTTGTGAGAAATCGAATGTAAGTACTATATATTTTAATGAATAAGAGTATGTATTTTGATAAATACGAAAATTTAGGTCTGAAAGCAAAGGAGTGCCATAAATGAAACAGCTGTGCAATAAGAAAATAAATGCCAGCTATAAAATGCAAGTAAAATTATAATGATAGAAGTTGTTTCTTATTTATCAAAAAATATACTCCTATTCATTAAAATGTATAGGACTCACATGGATTTCCGTAAATTTTTATCAAATTTGATCGTAGTCACGATTTACATTCAATAAATTCATTTACACATTTTCTTCTTATTTACCTCAGACACGACGCCAATTGTCCTCTGCAATAGAAAGATTACAGTCTCTGGCGTGCACCTCTTACTCCGTTAACACTGCGATAGCTGATTCTTTTAAGCCAACCTGTTCCCTTGGCTCCGATCATCAAACTGACGAAGTCGGCCATGCCGATCTTGCGGCACCACTTGAAATTGTTGACACTACGATTATCTCTTCTAGCACCAGCGAGTTAGACACTTCTGCACCTCCTCTCGTTACCTCCAATCAAGCATCATCTCTTGACCCGGCAGACTCTGCTACATCACCAGGCGGTTGCGGAGGTGCGGTTATTCAAGAGGTCGCTGATTTAACTGGTCTGGATTCTGAGTCCAACACTGCATCCCGTCAGAAACCTCGTAAATCTACGGCTCCACAAAGGCGTTCCTCGGCGCCTGCTTTATCACAACTCGAAGATCCTCCAGAACGTAAATCGGGGCTATTAAATGCTCACCAGACATCTGCAACGCTTGAAGAAGAGGATATCGACACTTCGCCGTCCAGGCCTGTTGAATCTTCATCAATACAAGTGTTGCGTTTAAGTCCTGGACGAACGCGCAGAAGCCGTCCTGGCAGAAGATGTCCCGGCCGCCTGGCTTTAACAGATAACGCAGCCGCCGTCTTGGATACCGATGAGTCTCATTGTTCAGACAGCCTTGTGGCGTTTGAGCAGCCCATTTTGGAGGTCCAGGAGCCTTGCGAAGTGGATACCCCTCTCGAGCACGGCTCCACAGAAACTCTAGATCTCTCAACACAAGCCTCCTTTGAGTCATTAAATCGCCAACAACTGAGTCCAACATCTCGGCGGCCTGGGACTCGCTCTGAAAACTCTACTTGTACATCTGAAGGGATGGATGACGGTAGGGCATGCAGCCCTGTTAGCCCACGAACCAGACAGACTCGCCGGGACCTCACTCTTTCCATTGCTACCACCACCGGAAGTAACAATAGTCCCACAAGCCAGATTGGCAGTCTCGAGGTTGGATTTCCAGCTAAACGCTTGCGTAGTCAATCTCCGCCCATATCTGCCTCTGAATCGACTGCAACAGTTTTAGCTAGCTTCAGATCAGCTTCTGGTAGGCATCTAAGGCCTACAACCTCTGGACAAGCCAATGTGTCTTGCGTGTCTCCCAGAAACTTGATTAGCGAACTGGCTGATTCTATTTCAGCAACTCCACCCAGGTCACCGGCTTCGTCCGACGAGATTGTGGCTGCTGTTAATCAACAGCTCTCACCGGGACGCCGGAAGCGTAATGGCTTTCAAAATAGTTTTACCAATAATTCTCGCTCAAAAATTATTATTGCTCCACTTTCTTCCGATGTAGATGCTCCGGCAGTAAGTGCATTACAGCTACAACCACCACTGGTACTTCCTCCATCATCAGATTCCTCATGCTCTGTTTCCTCCTCCCCTCCTCTGGACACAGGAAGACCTGTGCCCTCCTCTACAGCTTCTGCTTCTTCCACATCTCCCTCTCCCCAAGATCGCCATTTAACTCTTCTCTTCTCTCCGGTCTCTTCCATTGCCTCACCTCCAAGCGAAGATGTGGCAATCGCTAGTGCATCTGGCTCTGCTTTAGAAATTTGCTCTTCTGAACAACATGCAGAGCCAAATACCGATCATCAGAGTGCTCTCATTCTTCCTGACCTTTTCTGCTCATCTTCCTCCACCTCTTCTTCATCTATCGGACCTCTCGCTGGTTCCCCAAAATCAGAGAACGTCAATCCACTTGTGCCTCCACTAAAAAGTTGTCCCCGAGATACCCCAACCGCTAAACGGTTTGGAGGCTCAACACCAGATGCATTTCCGGCTACCCCTAATGATTCCCCCATTTTCGAGCCTCATTCCATTGAACCTAGAGATTCTGAGGCCGCATCTGCCCTATCCTGCCAATCCATGATCGAAGACCGAATTAGTCGTCCTATGGTTCACTTCGAATCCTCCTCGGATCCGGGCTTGCCTAGTTTATCTTCACGCCAACCTTCTATTACATCACATGAATGGGCTGGGCGCCCAAAAAGTTGTGCCCAATTCAATTTTGGCCACCTCACAGCTCCTAGCCACTCAAACATTCCTTCAAATCCCGTCTCTCTCTCTCTACCGACTTCACCGGCTTCACCACCGCCCACTCCACTAGATCTTAGAGATACTATTGCTCCACTCTCTGACAAAGATCCTCATTTCGAATCCACTACCTCTTTCTATCCTTCATCATCGGACAACAAAGTAATCGAAGAAACTCAAGATCTGGATGACACTTCCCTTTCAGACTCACGAATATTGACCTCTGTCGCTGATAAAAACATGATTTCTCTATTATCTAAATGCATTTACCAATCCTCCTCTTTCAAAGTAAATAGCCAATTCTCTTTCGCCTCTAGTGATAAAACAGAGATGTTGCCGGTTGTTCATGAAACTACCTCTCAACTATCTGGACGTGAGTTTTCTTCACTGTCTCATAACTCCCCCAAGATCTTGCTTGATGAGGAAGCCGTGCAAGGTAAATCAAGTTCATCACAATTGCCGACAGATTCTAATAATCAAGTGTCAGGTAAGCATCATGTGGACACATTAGATTCTGAGATCGAGCTAATTACGGCTAAGACGGTTTTATCAGAGTCCAATTTTGTTCAACCTACTGAAGACTCGACCAACCTATCCTCTCAAGGTCCGGTTCCGGGCCCCGAGCTATTGGAAAAGGCTTCAGGCACGTCACTTCTTACCATCTTTGAATCGGTTAATCCATGTACTACACAGGAGGAGACTGACTTGACTGTCGCCGATGTCGTATCCGGGACCAATATTTCCATTGAGGCACCATCTGAGATTTCTATTATACCAAACAGGTCGGGGCCGGATCTAGATAGACCAACATCTGGACGCGAAAATACGAAAGGAGATCTTTGGACTACCTCTGAGGTGGAACCAGCAAATGGATTTTCTCTCAAGCGAGCCCATTCAAATGACAGCATTGCTTCAGAACCAGATAAAATCAAACGCTCTCGTCTATCTCCATCATCTCACGGCCATACGATACCTTGCAGCAAAAAGCCCTCTGTAGCACAGACTACCTCTCTGGAACCAATGGCTCCAATCGAGCATTTGGCAGTCGAGAATGATGCGAAGCTTCCAGATTGTTATGAATCCGAAAAAACTTGTCCTAGTGAAGCGGAATATTTGGATAAACATACTTGTTCTTCTCCACAAAAGACAGATGCGAAGCAAGATAGGAATTTTGCCACCTTCGAGGATGCTGTGTCCTCTAGTACTCAAGAGGGAGCGATGTTTGAACACAAATTGACGAAGAAAAGTATCAGTAATGTTCCTTCTTTTAATTCTAATGAGCACGAAGCCTTTTCGATCACTGACCTTAACCTTGGGGCTTCTGCTACGGAATCTGGTAGTCATTTAAACAGCCCTATCATTGAAGCAAAAAGTCAGAGCTCTCCTGCACATGACTCACATATGAACCTTTTACATATTGAACCTATCGTTTTAACACATGTCTCTGATATAAAAGAGTCACTTGATGATGATACTATTGCAACTAAAGCAAAAGGTGTGACAAGTGAATCTCACGAGGACTCAACTTCCTTAAGAGTAACAGCCCAACCCAAGTCTCTCTCTTGGTCAAAATGTTGGTCTCCTGTGACTAGACAATCCGATTTTCTATCAGACGATATTCGCTGCGAATATCGCCATTATCGTATAAACATCAGACCTCGATCTAGATCCCGCTCACCGATCAGGGCTCGCTCATCATCT